GAATATATATATATATATATATATATATATATATGCTATCTCAAAACAATTCAATAAGCTTAAATAACAATTAATAACATAATTCTAAATAAGGAAAAATAAACACTTTAATTTGAAAGAATTACAAAGATAACGTTACTTTTTACAACTTACTAATAGAGATGGTGTGTATCCATCTTGAACCGAATTTAGGATTTAGTTCATAGTTACTGGAAAATTGATAAAATAAAATAAAATGAATGTTTTTCCAACTCGAATGCAGGAGTGTAGTTCATTGTAAATTTTTATAGTTTCTTTTGTTTTTAATTTTTTTTTCAACTTCATTATTATTTTTTAAAATTTAATCATTTTATATTTAGTTGATTTATAATTGGATTTTATGATTTGTTTCATAATTTGTTTTTGTAGATAAAAATAGAGTCATGACATTGAGTTGGTTCTTAATTTTACAAAGAAAAATTCGATTTGATTGTTTAGAAAAAATTAAAAATGATGGGATTGAAATTCAAAGTTAGGTGAAATGGCAACTCTTTATTTAAAAAAAAAACATCTTTTTGTTTTTTAATTTTTTTTAGTTTGCCCATCTGATATTTTTTTTATCATCATCCCATATTGTATTTGTTGATAATTCGACTTGATGATTTGGTTGACACTACTTTCTTTCAAGTTATCACATCATAGAAAAATATTATGATATTGGGTTGGTTTTCAATTTTGTGAAAAAAATAATTTTATTGTTTGAAAAAAATTAAAATGATAGGACAAAAATTAAAATCTTGGAGAAATGACTATCTTTCTTCTTTTTTTTTTTTAAAATATTAGTATTAATGCCTTTAGCCTTAATATTTATTTTTTATCTTTTTAGTTTGAAAATTATACAATTTGATTTAGGATTTCATTTTATTTGTATTTAATTCTTGGTGTGAATAAGTTCTATTTCATAAAAGAAATATAATTGAGGTGAAATGATAGTTTTTTTTATTTAAAAAAAATACTTTTTTTGTTTTTTTTTTAATTTGATTTTTTTAGTTTGACCATGTGAGATTTTTTGTTTATCATCCCATATTACATTAATTGATAATTCAACTTGATGATTTGGTTTATACTACTTTCAAGTTATCACATCATATAAAAATATCATGATATTAGGTAGGTTGGTTTTTAATTTTATGAAAAAAATTAAAATGATAGGATAAAAATTAAAATCTTAGAGAAATGACTATTTTTTTTTTAAATTAATATTAGTATCAATACCTTTGGCCTTAATATTTATTTTTTATCCTTTTAGTTTGAAAATTATACAATTTGATTTAGGATTTCATTTTATTTGTATTTAATTCTTGGTGTGAATAAGTTCTATTTCATAAAAGAAATATAATTGAGGTGAAATGATAGTTTTTTTTATTTAAAAAAAATACTTTTTTTGTTTTTTTTTTAATTTGATTTTTTTAGTTTGACCATGTGAGATTTTTTGTTTATCATCCCATATTACATTAATTGATAATTCAACTTGATGATTTGGTTTATACTACTTTCAAGTTATCACATCATATAAAAATATCATGATATTAGGTAGGTTGGTTTTTAATTTTATGAAAAAAATTAAAATGATAGGATAAAAATTAAAATCTTAGAGAAATGACTATTTTTTTTTAAAAAAAATATTAGTATCAATACCTTTGGCCTTAATATTTATTTTTTATCCTTTTAGTTTGAAAATTATACAATTTGATTTAAGATTTCATTTTATTTATATTTTAGTCCCTGGATTTCGTGTTCCATGTTCCAGTGATAAAAAACATCATTCTTGATGTGAATAAATTCTATTTTATAAGAGTAATATTATTGGGGTGTTTTTTATCCTTTATTTTATTAAAAAATAGATCAGATTTCTAGAATATCTTTTAAATTAGGATAGATTTTGAATTTTTTTACGATTGAACATTGATTTGAGCTTAGATATTAGATATGAGTTCGTTGATATTCATGGGTGTTTTACATGCGTTTTTAGAAGGAAAAAAAAAATCAATTAAACTGAAGTTTTTATGTCCAAAAAGATGGGGTCACCTTTCCAGCCATTCCCGACAACCAGAGGTGGTCGGAGGCAAAACTAGTAGTCGTTGCATCGTTTGCCACTGCAGACAACGCTCTATCCGTTTTCTTTTTAAAAAAAAAAAAAAAGAATGGGAAAATGATGAGTGAATATTGCGTTGTCTGCCCATTTAAATAATACAATAAAGAAATTAGGCCTCAACGCACGTGCCATGTCTCAGGACTAAATTTCAGTTGGGCCTGGCATGCTAGGCCTCCTAGGCTCGTGCCTGGCCCTTTTTTGCCTTTATTTATTTTGTTTTATTTTTTAAAAATTTATTTAATGTGAAATTTAATAGCTATATATATATATATATATATCTTAAATTATTTTATAGTATATTTTAAGTATTATTTCTTAAAATACCATTAAAAATTTTATTTTCTTTTATATAGCTTTTTTTTTCATTAATTTTAGAAAGGGTTTTTTATTTTTTTGTTACAACCTATCATATTATTTTAAAGAAAAATATATGTTTTTTTTATGAGTCTCTATTTTTATTATTATATTATTAAATAAAATATAATTTTTTAAAAATAAAATAATTGAACTAGACCATGTAGGGCATATATTTAATTAGTAAACTCAATTGAATAAATTTTATATATAATGTCTTAATATAAAAAAAAATGAATGTGATTAAAATTTTTTTTTCCTTACTGCTAGAAAATGTGTTAATAGATCTTGCACTTTATTATTTTTTATTTTTATCTTTGTTCAGCGAGTCTTAATGAAACATTTCTTGCATGTTAACGAGGAGCTCATGGTGTAGTGCCGACAGCATGTCTAGCATTCAAATAATAAAATAGAAAACGTAGGCCTCGACGTGCGTGCTTATGCTGCCAAGCCCACATGTCAGGACTAAATTTCAGTGGGCCTGGCGTGCAAGGCCTCCTTGCCTGATCCTTTTTTGTCTTTATTTATTTTTTTTAATGTGAAATTTAATTACTATATATATATATATATTAAATCAGTTTATAATATATTATAAGTATTATATATTTCTTAAAACACCATAAATTTTTTTACTTTCTTTCAAAATAAAAATATAGATTTTTTTTCATTAATTTTAGAAAGGGTTTTTTTTTTTTGTTACAACTTGTCATATTGTTTTGAAGAAAAATATCTGTTTTTTTTTTTTTTTGTTTTAGTCTCTGTCTTTATTATCTTATTATAAATAGATCTTGCATTTATAATTTTATAAAAAATTTCTTACTGCTAGAAAACGTGTTAATAGATCTTGCATTTTTTTTTAATCTATGTTCAACGAGCCATAACGAAATATTTCTTGCGTGTTAAAAAGGAGCTCACGGCGGAGTGCCGACAACATGTCTAGGTAGCCCCAAATTAGCTCCTAGGGGAAATTTTAAGTCTCTCAATTTTCTTTCCAATAATTTTCCTTTCTCATTAGCAAGTTGTGATTTTTAGATAGAATCCATGAATTGTTGTTGATATATAGTCGTTAACAAAAGACTTGATATATATATATATATAAATTTTGAAGATGCAATAAGAGTGTTTTGTAGGACATTATATAGGGATTGTTTTATAGTTGGGCTATTAATTTGAGATTTGTTCTACTGTTTTTCTATGTTAGCACTGAATAAAATTTCCAAAGCAAATGCATAAATTCGTTAATGGAGGAAGACAAGTTTCGAATCGAGCGTGCTTCTTTTGATTTGACCAAAGCCTAAAGATTTGAGCAGCTAAACTATGGGTTAATTGCTTCTATCACACTATCTATTTTTGGACACTTACACTTTGCACCTTATATTTTAGAAAATTACGATATATTTTAGAAAATTACGATTTTCACCTTAGGATTAGTGGAGTTAACTTTTTTTGTCTGAAACTTTTAAAATTCAAAAAATTTCCCTATTTTAAAAGAAGATAAAAGTATTACACTCTCATTTAACACATTAATCTTCCTCTTTTGGAAGAAAAATTATTATTTTATTTTTTTAAAAAAGCTTATAATATTTTTTGTGTGGAAATTCATGCTATTTATGAAATGAATATGTTTATGTAATAATTAAAACATAAAATAAAAAGGAGATGCTTATTTATGGATGGAAGTAACACATTTTACTTGAATATTTTTTTTATGAACGGCGAAATGAAATGGGATTGAGTGAAATGAATGTTTTTTCACACTGAATTTTTTATCTATATATGTTAGAATTAATTCAATTTGGTCCTTTTGTAGTATTTTGATAAAAAAAAAATCAACTCAATTTCTATCGGTCAAACAAATTTTTAATGAAAGGTGGAAAGTGAAATCATAAAAAAAAAAAATAGATTGTGAAAATCTTAAGGTTTTCAAAATACAAGATGTCAAGAGTAAAGACATTTATAACACAAGGTACGTAGTGGAGATAATTAATTAACTCGCTAAACTATATATATTTACCCAATTAACAGTTTTTTTATGCTGTGAAAGTCATTAACACATGATTGATGAATCTGTTCATTAATAAGATTTCATCTCTAAGATCATTTAACTTATCATAAAAAGATCATATGCATGTAATATGCCTACGAAAAGCTAAGCACACTCATATGCTTTCTGTATTTCTTGAAAAAACAAAGAGGCTGATAACAATAACAACAATAATAAAAGACATAGTTAATTATTGGGCATCTTAGTGTTCTTGCATATTCCCAGTAGAAAAACATCGTTGTCCTTTTATCCATGGAGACATGGCGGTGTGATTGAAGGCATCGATCATTATTGATATTTACAAAGACGTATTTTGTTTTTCAATCTTGGTAAGCAGATTAATATTTATTTATTTATTTATTGAAAAAAAGGGTGAAACTTCAGAAATGAAGTTGCAATTTGGAAGAAAACACACACATTGTTCATACCACACGGAGACACCAAGGTTTTATTTGCTTGTTAGCTGGAATAACAAGGCAGAAAAACAAGCATATCCGTTTTCTCGACGCGGCGATCGCTGCAAGGAAAGTAGACATTTATAGGCACGTTCGTGATTGCTTTCTGCAACAAGAAAAATCTCAGCTGCATTGATTTCTCAAGTGAAAATTATGTAGTGGTTGTTTTTTGGCTTATGGGTTTTGCTAGTTTCTGAGGCATTAGACAAGAAGTTCACAGGTTGTCATGATCAGGAGAGGATATCTTTCTTCACCAATTCTTGCCTCCTTGAGCGTAGCGGTCTTCTTCATTCATGCCTTGGCAGACGATGTTCCTTCGCCGGATGGCACATCAGGTTTTTTTTCCTACCTCTTTCATTTTTTATCTGTATTTTTCTTATTCTTAAACTATATGGCTGTTATATTGACATGTATAATATCTCCAAGTAACATATATTCTATCATGGAGTGTTTGCAGTGAATAGCAGTTCACTCACTTGAATGGTGGGTTCAATTTTGACTCTTCACTTGGTCTCCGAGGATCCACGTTTCATTTTGGAGACTTGAACATGTGTATATTCTTATAAAATTCGACCGGTTCAAGATTTAAATTATAAATCGATGAATTACCTTGGATTGATTAATATATGTTTATTTAAAATAATATTATTTTAAGATTTTTTTAAAAAAATTAAAAAAATATTATTTAAAAAAATTAAAATAAAAAACAAATCAATTTTTAATTGAATTTTAATGAGGTCACTGATCAATCAGCTTCCATTAAAATACCTCTCATTCAAATTTAACATGAAATATAATCCATTTTAGATTTAATCACCATATTAACATGTTAACTTGATACCCAAAAAAATATTTACTAATACACATAAATATTTGGATATTCAATGTTCAAAACATAAAAAATCTCTCTCTCACACACACAAATACACACAGGGGCAGAGTGAGAAAAAAATTAAAAAGAGTTAAATTAAAAAAAATATTTTAAAAAAATTAAATTTTTAATTATTTTATACAAAGAAGGGCTGATAAAAGTTTTCCCCGCCCCGCCACTATATATATATATTACAAAATCTATTTTGATTGGCCCACATGTATATCAAAACATCGACTTATAAAAGGAAAAAAACGTAAAGATTTAGAGGATCTCAGACTCATTTAATTAAGGAAGAGGTCCAGAAATGTTTTTTCATTCCTAATTCATCGGTTTTTATTCCTTTTAAAATGGGAATATTTGAAATCTTCCTAACATACACATGTTGACTCCCACCATTAAACCTAAAAGTATGATAATTTTAATTGGACCGTAGTTGGCCCATGCATGCTTCCAATGCAAACTTGGCTATTAATAACTTTTTTTTTATTGAAGCTATTAATTATTTTTTTTTATAAATTAGAAAGATATGATGGTAGAGAATATAGTTTTTTTTTTCCAGTCAATCTATCTTTCAAAATAATAAAAATATTTGACCAATAAAAAAGTGTAAATGAATATAAGGATTAAAACAATTATTTATTTTTATTAAAGTATTTTTGAATTATTTAAAAAATGAAATTAATATAAAAAATAAAAAACATTTATTTTTAAAAATCTTCAGGTTGAAAAAATTAAGATGGAAGAATAAATATCAATTATAAGCAGAAAAATTATAGATAATGAATTTACTTTCATTTGTAAAAATTGGTTCAAGTATTTTACTTAAAAGTTAAACAATATCATTAAATATAAATTTTATAAAAGTTGTTTAATTATTCATAACTAGAAGTTTTTTGTCACATGATGTGTATATGACATTCTGTTATAATACTTTAACTATTTAGTATTTAGAGAATATGTAATGGTGCAACATATTTGGTTGGTTATTATTAAATGTTGTTTATTCCACTAAAAAAATTATATATTTATTTTTTTAAATAAAAACTTTAAAAATAGATCCATCAACAAATAATTTTATTCTTACAGAATTTATATAATATCACAGATTTTATGATGAAATCTTGCTTATTAATATCACAAAGCTTACCATGTATCTAAGTGTCATGTATTATTTTAATTTGGTTATAAAGTAAAAACTTTCTAAAACTATCTACCAACAAATAAATTTAATTTTTAGAATTTATATAATATCATAAAAGCTTTTTCTATTGTTAGCTATATAAAAAGTGCACCCGTGAGTATATAATGTTAATTGATACACTAAGAATATAATGAGATGCTTTTATATCATTCTCTACCATTGCTCCCGAATTGAATACAAAAATAAATTATTAAATATGCATATGGTTGTAAAGATAAAGTCATTTTTACAAGGTAGAATATTTACTCCAATAATGTATAAGATTTCTTAAATAAATAACACAAAGTTATTTTAATAACTGGTCATATAAACTTTTTAATATTATATTATATTATATTGATGTTTAGTTGCAAAAAAAGGGACAATTATTGGAATATATAATAGAAAAAAAAGGGGTTTTGTTCTCATATTAGAATTAAGAAAGTAGTTATAGTTGGCATGATATATTCAACTAAAAACAACGAAAAGAGGATTAATTTGTAGTTAAAAATAAAATATAAGGACTACAAAAAGCTTTTTAAAACTTACTGGGCCTGCATCGGAACTCTATGAAGGCATTTGTTACATTGTTAAAAGTTTTTGAAACCAAATAAAGGAATATAATAAATAATATGGATTGTGTGTGGGGCACAAGATGCAGACTAGTTTTTTTTTAAAAAGCCAAGTCTAACATATATATGAATGAGTGCCGAATGTGGATTCTCGAGTTTCAGCAGCATATATAGATAAAAATGGACAATCGACCTTTCTCCATGTGTTCTACTAACAAGTTTATAAACTCCAATTGCAGCTACCTGTGTCTTAGACTTCAAGGAATTCCCTTACCAGCCAAGCGGTGAGTGCATAGGCCAACAAGAGAGAATCAAAGACTGGAACAGCTTTGGCACAACACTTTGCTGCCGTGATGTCCTCAACGTCCTAACAAAACTCTTAGCCTGGCGTGCATCAAACACAAGCGGCTATATTTTCCTCCCAGAAGATCAATGGGCGAACTGTAGCGGTGGCTTTACCAGACAAAACCTTGTATCACCATATTCATGTGGCTTTGATAAGCTCTATAATGGGAGAAGTTCTTGCTCAAGTTTTTCTTTGTCATCAATAAAGGAACAGACGTATTACAAAAATGCGGTAGCCTCGTGTTCGGATTTTAGCTCTTCGTACGATGATGTGTGCGGCAACTGCATCGAGGCAATATCGGAAGCGAGGGATTATCAGTTGCGACAATTAGATGTCAAAGATGATGACAAGGAGGAAAAAATAGTTTGTGGGGTGGCAGTTCTTATATCTGTTGTGGCTGCAAATTTGAATAATCAATCACTGATGATCGATGATTTCTATAGTTGCTTGCCTGCTTCAGATGAATTCAGTAAGAGCCAAAACTAGTTCTTTCAAATATCATTTCTCAATTAACTTCCCATTTCACTTCTGATCATGCTTATTGTTTTGTTTATGAACAGATGAAGGGTACATGAAAATCAAATGTAAGTACAACTATTCTGTTTTGTTCATTTATTGGAATTTGATTTGGTTCAGTGGATTATCATATAAAGTATAAACACTCACAAAGTTCTTTTAGCTTATCAGATTCTGTGGTGAAAGTGGTATTTGCGGTCTTTATAGCAATCATCGTATTGTTGCTGGTCATTCTTTTGATAAAATATGTGAGCAAGGGCAAGAAGAAGCGTCCTAAACCTGTTCCTCAATCTGAAGAGATCACCGCCTGGTCTGGCCTCTATAGATTCTCCAAGGCTGAGATTGAGAATGCCATTAATCACAGCAAGGTGAGGAGGAGCCTAGGGAGAGGAAGTGCTGGGCAAGTTTATAAAGGTGTTTTACCTAGTGGACAAGTAGTAGCCATCAAGCACATACATAATAGCAGCTCATGCAATTCTTTCCAGCGCGAAGTTGAAGGCCTTTCTAGGGTTAGGCATCCAAATCTTGTTTGTCTCTTCGGTTGCTGCATTGAGGGAGGGGAACGGTATCTTGTCTATGAATATTGTGCAGCTGGGAACTTGTCTCAACATCTCCGAAGTAACTCTCCGTTAATCTCTAAACAATTTCAGAATTGTTTTTTTTAACATCTTGAATCGATTGCTTTTCTCTTTTGTGCCAAGCTGTAGCTATAAAGTAAAATAGTACTTCCAGATGATGTCTGCTTTGTTGTCTCTAGGGTGTTACTCAAATGCCTCAATCCATTTTATTCAGGGAAAGATACTGTATTGACATGGGAAAGAAGAGTTAAGATCCTAAGAGACTGTGCTCTTGGACTGAGATACCTTCACCATTTTATAGATGGTTGCATCGTCCACAGGGACATTAAGGTAGTAGATGCTAATTTATTCTCCAGTTTTCTCATCGTGTAAGACTGAAATTGCACTGAAAGTTTCACCATTTCGGCATTTAAGAATAGTCCATTTGATCATTAATATTATTGGAGAACTAACATGAAAATCGGGTTAGGTGTTGTAAAAAAATGTTTTAAAGACTTTGAATGTATGGCGTCGTTTTCTCTTATATTCACCGAAGATTTTAAACTCATATCCATGTAAAAGAACAAGACAGATTTCATATTTGGTGCCTCACTAGTGCTTCTATTAATATGTCTTAATGTTGGGCATTTTCTATGCAGATGCATCTTGTAATTTGAAATCTAATGGTTCGTTTATGCATGCTTCGCAGCTCACAAACATCCTTCTGACTGAGAATTTGGAACCAAAACTCTCAGATTTTGGGTTGGCAAAGATGCTTGGCATGGAAGAGAGCAAAGTTTTCACAGACGTTAGAGGAACTATGGGCTATATGGATCCAGAATATATGAGCAATGCCAAATTAACATGTGCCAGTGACATCTATAGCTTTGGTATTGTTGCTCTTCAACTTTTATCAGGGCAAAAAGTCATTGAGTTGGATCTTGATGCTAGAGACCAGCTCATCCGAAAGGTATATTCTTGCTTGCCTGGAAGTCAATACCATGCGAGAGTTTTCTAGAGTAAGAGGGTAACCTTCAACTTTTGCAGGCAAAGGATGTAAATGCAGGAAAACGTCCGTTAACAGATTTTGAAGATCCTGGCCTCAACAGAAAGGTCAACAGCGTTGATTTTGAAGCCATTTTGCAAATTGCTGTACTATGTGTGGCAAAATCAAGCAAAGGTCGCCCAACGATTGATGATGTCTTCGAAGAGATAGAGAAGGCTTGGAAAAACACACAAGCTGAAATGGTTAGGCAATCAATTCCTTGAGGCATCATATATAGGTTATTTCACAGACCACTATTCTAAGATTGATAACATTTTCTGTTTTCTTACTGATCTCAGAAAGCCAACAGAGAAATCGGCTCATCAATGTCCAAATCCGTGGAAGTGATACCTGTGTAAGGAAATAAGGCTGAAGGCTGAAGTTTAATGATGGGTGGTACCCTTGTTTTGTTTGTGAACTATGAATCAGTAAAAAGGTGGTGCTGCTTAGAAATAATTAAAGATGCGATGCTGTTACCAATTAAGACGTCCATATCTGTATGTTATTAAGACCTTTTTCTGCTCCATTCCCAGTGAGCAACTGAGAAACATATATGAATATTCCTTCATTGGGACTGATCGAGAGGATACGATGGTGACGAAGAAGGAAGAGTTCTTGTCCTTGATACAACCACAGAGACTACACATTGTTGATTGAGGATCTCATTTTGTAGCTACACATTTAACGTAAAGTTTGAGGATTTGAATGGGGGAACTGGGTTTCATGGAAGTCAGAAATCATCTGTGAGTTGAGAGATCCATGTACAGGGGCTTTTTTTTGAAATTAAATATGTATTCTATAAGTTATTAAGGTTTAATGATTTCCAAATATGCCATTTTGTTTGAATAATTTATACTCTGGTGTTTTTTTTTTTTCAAAATATTACTAGTCATGTTCTAAATTTTACAATTAATTTTTAATTAAATAAGAGAAATAAAATATTAACGAGTTAACTAAAAAAATCATATAAGGATCCCAAGTCACTTAATACTATCTCCTTATCTTACAAATCAGTGGGTAATATGCTCAAAAATCACACTTGAAAGTCTTAAAAGCAAGTGGTAGAGCGTGTATTGCTCAGAAAGGCACAAAATTCAAATTTATTTTTTATTTAAGTTTTGAGGTTAGGCTTATTAAAAGGTAATTCTCAAAATATTTTAATTATAGTGGGGATATACGGCTTTCGTTTACCTATAAATGGATTAAAAAACTTCATTTATGACTGCATCAAAAATCTCCAGAGAACTTCATTAACACAAGATACAAAAAATAAAATATGTAATCTTTTCACATGTTAAATGTTTGCTTAATTTATTCATTCTCGATCCAACGTTGATCCCAGAGGAATATTACCAGAGGACATCATAAGTTTCGCCAGGATAGGCACGTTCAAGTTCTTAACAATGCCAAGTCAATGAGCCTAGATATGACCGCACAAAGAGATAACCCGTCATAAATTATTATACAAGGACTCAATTTTCCTCCCATTATATACCTAGATATATATTATGGTAGGTTTGAGCAATATAATAATAGAGTTGTCTTTTTTAAAATAACTTGATAAGCATACGGTAAATGTGTAATTATCTTTTTGATAAGATATATGTTTAGATAGGATGTTATTACATTTGACATTAAAAAATAATTAAGGATAAAATGATCAGTTTAGATGTTATTATATTTGACATTAAAAAAAATAATTAATAATAAAATGATCAATTCAAATTTTATTAGGACATGGCATGACTGTTAGACACCTAGCACTGGGGCATGACATGGTTGCCACCCTAGGCATCTGGATTAGGCAAGGAAGCAAAGCCCTAGACCCTCGAGCTAGGAATGGAAATCAGACCCTAGGCTCTTGGGTCCTATGTTAGGATCCAAGACACTTCTATTAGGCTTCCGGACCCAAGGGCTCTTGGGTCTAGCGTCTTAACCCAAGATTTTTAGTTTCCAATATTATAGCCTAACCCAAGATTTTTAAATTCGGCACTGCAGCTGCATCCAAGGTTCTCAGGTACAGTGTCAGAACCTAAGGCTCTTGGTTTGGGTATGAACTTGTAGACCAACCCAAAGCTTTTGGATCTAGTGTCAGGACCCCTGGCTCTTGGATCAGGCATTCGAACTTGATATTTTAAGATTTGGTATCCAGATCTGAGAATCTTGGGTCATGTGTTGTAGCCAAACTCTAAGTTTTTAGGTTTGGCATTGTAGTCAGCTCAAGGCTTTTAGGTTTATACTTGTAGACTAACCTAAGGCTTTTAGGTCTGGTGTCCGAACCCAGGAAAATTTGGTTGGGCATTCAAACCCAAGGCTCTTGGGTCCGATGACAGGAACTAAGGCTTTAGAGTCTGGTGTCAAGATCCAAGGCTTTTGGGTTCAACGTTTCAGAGGGGCTTAAAGCTCTTGGGCTTGGCATTGTAGTTAGACTCACTTAAATTTAGGTTAGATAAATTTAATATTATTATTAATATTACAAATATTATTATTTTTATTATAATTAATATTATTAATAAATTTTAAAAATATTATTAATATTGAAAAATAATCATAGATTTGATTTGAATGATAAAATTAAAAATTATTATTATTATTAAATTTGAAAAAAATTATTACTATTGAAGAAAAACTATAAATTTAATTTGAAGAGTAATATTACTAATATTATTAATATAATTATTAATAAATTTTTAAAAAATATTATTAGTATTTTTAAAAAACTATAAATTTGATTTGAAAAGTAAAATTAAAAATTTTTGTTGTTAAATTTGAAAACAATATTATTACTATCGAAGAAAAACTATAAATTTTACTTGAAGAGATTAAAAATTATAAAAACTTGGGTTAGACAAATCTAGTATTATTATTATTATTATTATTATTATTATTATTATTAACTTAGGTTTGACGTTCCCTTTTAAACCCAAGTAGCTTGGGTCTTGCAGCTCCACCTGCCCAAGGTTTTTGAGTTGACGTCTAGACCCAAGGCTCTAGGGTACGATATCTGATCCAAATCACTTAGATCCGTGTTCAGACCCAAAACTCTTGAATCTCGTATCCGAACCTAAGGCTCTTGAGTTTCGTGTTTAAGAAGGGTCCAAAGCTTTTGGACTTAGCGTTACAGCCAGACCCACTTAAATTTGGGCAGAAAAATTTAATGTTATTATTAATATTAAAAATATTATTATTTTTATTATAATTAATATTATTAGTATAATAATTAATAAATTTTAAAAAAAATATTATTAATATTGAAAAAAACCATAGATTTGATTTGAAGGGTAAAATAAAAAATTATTATTATTATTAATATCATTAATAAATTTGAAAAAAACTATTACTATTAAAGAAAAACCATTATTTTTTTTTATTATTAGAGGAGCTAGACCCTAAAAACTTGAGACTGATAGGGGCGCCAACTAAAGTTACTTGGGTCTGGAAGATAATGACGTCCCTAAAAAATATGAGTCTTACTACTACTACTACTACTGATGAATAAAAATATTATTATTATTGAATAAAAATCATAGATTTGGTTTAAAGGATAAAATCAATTATTATTGTTATTATTATTATTAATAGGTCTGGCTGAGGTGTCAGACCCAGGTAACTTAGATTTGATAGGAGCATTAAATCCAAGTTTATAATCATTAGTATTATTATTCTTCTTATTATTATTATTATCATTAATAATTTTTAAAAAATATTATTACTATTAAAAAAAATATAAATTTGATTTCAAGGGATAAAAAACAATAAGAATTTAGGTCAGACACATTTAATATTATTATTACTATTATAAATATAACTATTGGTATTATAATTAATATTATAAATATTAATCTTGAGTTTGACATTGTAATCAGATCTAAAACTCTTGCATTTGGTTTTGCAAGCAAACTCAAATCCAAATTGACAGCTTTCGGATTCGATGTTCTAACAGCCTTATCCAAAACTCTTGAATTTTAGTTTTTATGATATTTTTTTAATAAAAAAATAAACTCGTGGTACAGCATAAACCACCTCACTATTCTTTACTAAAACATGAATTGCATTTAATTGGATGAAAAAATGTTAGCCTAATCGTAGCAGGCATAATGGCAAGAAATTCTTTATCGATCTTTACATAGCCTGCTTCCAGTAATTAAAGAAAATTGAGCAAGAAATTCTATTTTAATTCTGTTGGAGGTTGTGATTTTGAAACCCTTGATATAAAATGACAACAATAGATGTAGATGATTGAAATGCCCGAACGAATATGACCAGCCAACCCTAGAATTGGTTGCTCCTGTGTGTGCGAGAGAGACAAGTTTGACGAAAAATCTCACTAGATTTGGGTTTTTTTGTAGGCTGATAGATAGATCGCTGGACTTGGGTTATAAAAGAAATGCACGAGGTCGCCATTGTTAGGCGCCTGCCCAGTTTTTTCATCTTTTAATTAACTCTTTATATAGCATGATGAGTCATGATTTCTCAAATCATCCTCGTTTAAAAGATAATACATGAAAGTCATAATTTAAAACCAAGGTACATTTTTTAGGTGTCTAATCTCATTTTAGGTTAGTGTACATTTACGATCAACTCTATCCCTTTTACATTATATGAGATAAGTCAAATAAAATGATACAAAAAAAAAGTATGAATATATAGGAGGGGCTCAGAACCTTATACACGGAGCCAAAAACACATTCTCTACTCTTTTTTTTTTTTTTATAAATTCTACATGTTTTTTTTTTATATCTTCAAAAAAACTCATTAATACTTCTATTAATATCTTTTGTTATATAAAAAAAACCTAGTATAAACTTGATCTTTGAAGCATCCCCATCAACATCTCATGGGGACTTTGTGTATATATTTGTTAAGAAAACAGTTAACATCTCAAAAGAAATTTATTAAAAAAGAAGTTAATGCAATCATAAAGTAAAGATCTTAAAATATATTGTGAATGATATACAAGGATTTCTAAGAAATAAAAATACTTCTATTGATTTTTGTACTCTCATATAGGATAATTAGTTTAAAATTAGATTTGAGATTAGAAAAATTAAAAGATAATGAAATAAAAGAAGGTAATAATATATAACTAACCCTGAACACACGACAATCTTCATTTTAGGCCATGTTTGTTTCCTGGAAAATAGTTTTCGGGAAATCACTTTCCAAACTTTCCTGTGTTTGTTTGTTATTAGGAAAGTTGGTCAACAAAAAACACTTTTCAGTCAACGGAAAACACTTTCTGGTCAACGAAAAATATTTTTCAGTCAAAAAAAAATTTGGCTTGGTTTTCAGAAAAGTGTTTTCCTTTTTAGCTGTGTTTGTTTTCCGGAAAATGATTTTCGGGAAAACACTTTCCAAACTTTCTTTTGTTTGTTTTCTAGAAAGTGGTTTCTGGAAAATCACTTTCCAAACTTTCTTGTGTTTATTTGCTGTTAGAAAAGTTGGTAAACGGAAAACACTTTCCAGTCAAAGAAAAATTTGACTTGATTTTCAGGAAAGTGTTTTCCTAAAAAATTTGGGAGGAAAATACTTTCCGGAAGTTGTGAAAAATTTAGAAATGTCATTATTTGCTGATTATATCAAATTTGATCCTCAAACTTTTGATTACTATATATATTTTGTTTTGAATATTTATTTTTTAATTTCATTTCTTAAAATTTAATTTTTATATTAACTTTGGTCATCATTTTTATAGTTGTTATTTTCTTTTCTCCTATTATTTTTTTTATTGAAATTTTTTATCTATCAAATTTGGTTCTCATTCTTTTGATTGTTACTTATTTTATTTGAAATACTTTATGAAATGTTAATTATTATTATTTTAATTTCTTCATCTTTTTTTTAGATTTGATCTTTATTATTTTGATTATTATTTATTTTATTTGAGATAATTTATGATTTTTTTTTCAATTTCATTATTATTCAACTTTTTAATTTGTAAGATTTGTTCCTCATTATTTTAATAAACTTGAGAAAAATAAAATATTAATAAATTATTTTCCAGTTCATTTTCCATAATATAACCATACACTAGAAAGTGTTTTCCAGTTCATTTTACATAACACTACCAAACATCGAAAAATAATTTACTTTTCAGGAATTCATTTTCCCCGGAATTCACTTTCCAGGAATTCACTTTCCTCAGAATTCACTTTCCAAAAGGAAAAAACTTT